CTCTTTTATCGTTTTACAGGCACCTTTGCACAGTGAGATTGTCTTTCTGTCATCTCTTATTTACACTATGCTTCTTTTTTTTTAAGATAATACCGTGGATCAGTGGTGTCAAATTCAAATAGAAAGAGCTGCCACTGACTGCATATTGACTTAGAAAATTACCAATTGATATAATCTATATAGTATTGTATTTTTATTAATGTTGTTAAGCAGTTCCCAATTACATTTTAATCTAATTCAAGTTTTACAACTCTGCCTACATGATGTCCCTTATATTACTTTTTGCACACATCATTGGTAATATGCCACAACCTATTTATGACCATAAAGCACTTCTCCATTGCCTTTGGGAAAACCCAGTATTTTTAATACATTCTAGCAACTATTTTCTTTTTCAATTCTGGACCTACCTCTTTGTCCATCTGCAGTGCCTGTTGTTGATATATAAGCTGGCCAACCTGATCAGTGGGTGACGTTCCTATCCAATTAAACATCAGTTTGGGAAATACACATTTTTACCTGTTTGTTTTTGTTTTTTCTCATGTTGATTTTAGGTCAATCTTTTTTTTTTAAATTTTCTTCTAGTCCTATATGCCTATTTTTAATCTCTATAAAATCTTTGTGAAAATGACCATGCACATAAAAAAGAATAACCTTGCTGAAAATATAGAAACAAAATTGATAGAAAGGCTTTCACAAGCAATTTTTATCTTACAGGTTATACATTTGACTGTAAGGTATAATTCAGTAGAAGAAATTGCTGTATTTATTGTTTGTTAATTACCAAATAAAAAAATTGGTAATGACCTAAAGGCTCTCCTCTAACAAAGAGTCTTCCACACATGTGGTAATACCACTTCTAGTTCTATGATAATTTAGTTATCAAAATAATGACCAATGACTCTATATATGTGCCCAGTAAAGGTGTATACCACTTTTTGAAAAAGCAGAATTCAAATGGAAAAACCAGTCACCACAGGGTGAGTTTTCAAGATGGTTTTGCTTTCAAATGATATTTTGTTGATTATATCAAAATGAAGGATGTTACAAGGCTTCCTAAATGAAATTTACTTCGTACCATGTGCCATAAAAATTTTACCTTGATGATAGAGTTGACCTTTATAAAATGAATCATGAAGACATTAGAAGAAAAGTGAATAATGATTTTATCACAATTGTGGAAAAGTGAAAAAGAAGAAATTTGAGGGAACAAGTTTAATAAATTTGATTACATGAAATTTTAAAAATGATTTCTATAAAATAATATAATGAAGATAAAAATAAAACAGATCAGGAAAATATTTTGGCAAATATAAAATTAGCATTGAAAATATAGAGGAAGGGAGTTTATATAAGTATGTTCCAAGGTAACGTCATTGTTCTAACTGATATGAATTAGTCAATATTGGATATATGGCCAAAAGCTTAAAAAATTGGATATACACATTTCAGATGAACACTTTAAATAGTTTAAATTTCTTAGTAATCAAGTAAATATACTTTAAAATAACTTGAGGTAATTACACCTGCCTAAAAGTGAATTAATTTACTTACGTTTGTTTAACAAATAAAGTGTGTGGGGGAGAGAAGCTGAACGGATATAGCTTCACTTACAGTTCCTTTTGAAATTCCAAATTGATAGAATATTTTTGGACATAATTTGACAGTACCCCCTAAGGTTATAAAAATAATCCCATCCTTTCCATCCTTTGCTTTAATAATCCCCTTAAAAGTACACCTCTAAGAATAATATTGCAAAAAGGAAAATTGGTATCTTTTCTAATGTCTATTAAGGTATCAGAGATGTGTACTCAGTATCAATGGAGTGTGTAAATATTTAGATATTGAATTTTCAAAATCTCTTTCAGAGGCTACGTTGATTATAATTGCAAGCAGAAAAAAGTAAAACTAGACAATATCTAAATGTTCAGCAATTTGGGAATGGCTAAACAGGTTGAAACATAGCAATGTAATAGGATACTCTAAATAAGAATGATCAGTATTTTAAAAATAAAGAAATATAATAATACATGAAATTATGTGAATATAATAGAAATAAAGGATCAGTGTAAAATTGACTATGTACAGGGACTATTTATATGAATTTGGGACTAAATTCCATATTCAGTTCTGTAAATATTTAAGTACTTAATATGTTAGAAGCATTAAATAAATTAAAGTATTTAAATGAAAAAAATTATTAGGCTCTTACTACGTATCAGTATGGTGTGAAGCATTGGAGATATACAAAAGCAAGGTGGTTACTGCTCACAAATAGCTTGCATTCTAATAGGAGGAGACAATATATACTGGGAAGCAGTAGCCTTAGGAGGGTGCTTTCCTTGGAAAAGTGGAGATGGTGAGTGGAACCATAAGGGAGGCAACTGATAAACCCTTTCTAAAAGCAATGAAAATGTTGATTTACTTATGGTTCCTAGGGCAAGATCCAGAAAGGGGGTTAGAGGTAGGAGAATGATGATACTGTCATGTGCCAGTGGCAGTTTGGATGACAAGAAAATGATTAAGGTAGATAGCTGAATAAAATGTGAAGTGAATAAAATATATGGTGATATTAAATTGCCCATGCTTCTATTTACCCTTACTGATAACAATCAAGTATTTATGGCACGTAGGTACATTTTAGGTACATGGGTACATTTATGGTCACATTTTTCTTTATGAAGAGAATGAAAAACCAAAGGGCATAATAACTCTATTTCAAGTGAGATAAAATTAAAATAACCCCATTTTAAAGAAAATATACATTCACAGGTAATGGTGGTATAAAGGATGGAAACAATAAGAGATCTTGGGAAATAAATTTAACAACTGAAAAAGAATCATCTGTCAGCCATACAGCTGACAGACTTTTCCAGGAAGAGTTCTAGTTAAAGGAAATTAATTACTTCATGAATCAGCCCATTACAGGCTTTTGACAGTTTTAATTATTAAGAGCTAACAGCAGGCTAAGAACAAGTCTAATCCCTTGTCCATACACAAACCAGTGAAGTTAATATAAATATTAATAATATCCTTCTCCAAAGTTCTCCACTATAGTTTCATTTATAGCAAAGAGGTAGTTTTAGGTTCTTCAAGGCCATGGAAGAGGAGCACAATCTCTGAAAGGTTCCCCAGTGCCCCCGAGTACAAAGAGGCTGGCATACCATTATGTTGGTCACAGGGCAATGGTTTTTTTGGGGGCGGTTTAAGGGCACTTAGCAACTCTCAAAAGACCATCTGCTAAGTTGAAAAGGAATGTTTTAAAGGTTTATTCACCAGCAAAATCTTATATTCTTGAATAGCAGAGTATGGAATGTTTCATGGTAGTTGAGTAAAGAATATGGAGAGATTTCCCAATTACCTCCTCCAGATGAAGCCCTTCCATGTGGCTGTCTTATTGGCTTTCAAATAAAATCCCAGAACACTAGGCACACATGTTTAGAAGCATGGATAGAAATATATTTTAAAGCTGAATGTCTAAATCTAGGTGTATGTCTTAGAAAGCATCTCTGAGTATATGTTTCTGTGTATGTGTGTATATACATATATAGCCTATCTTTATTATATGTGATATTAGATTGCCCATGCTTCTATTCACCCCTTTATTGATAATAATCAAGAATTTATGTTACATAGGAAATACATTAATATTTTAGTTGAATAAGAAATCATCCTTCAACATTATGTATCATAGAGAGGCAACATGACATAAGTACTACTATAGTATATAAGTACTATACATATATATTTTTTATACTTTCCATTTCTATTTCTTTTCTCTTTTCCTCCATTTTTATGCAGGGTTGAGAATATTGGGTCTATATATATTACATGTCACTTTTCCCCTCCAAATACAAAGCAAAGAATCAAGTTTTATCTTGGCACTTTAAAAAAGAGATTGTTGTGTCTACTTTCCCTGAAATAAAAGTTTAAGAGAACTGGTGTGGTTCATGGTGCTAAGGAAAAAAAAACAAACAACTTAGAGTGAAATTTTAAGAGCAGGTCTTTAATTGTGTTCTTAATCTAAATATAGACCCTAATTTCCTAATGTTCATATAAAATATAGAAAATCTGAGATATTTGAGTTAGATCCAAAAAAAATTTCTTCTCTAGTTTACTATAAATGTAAGGTGAAAATCTAAGATGAATTTTAAATCTCATGCCTCTTTATTTTTTTAAACATTAAGTAAATTCTGCTTTGGGAGAGTTTTATAATTCTCTGTAGAAAAATAGAAGGAATATTAAAATTATAAAATACTATATAAATAACTCATTTATAATGCAATATCATTTATGTAATATTTTGTTATGATACAATATGATTTTGTGTTTTTGTGTTATAACTGTTGTAGAAATATTATAACCATTAGTTTGGCATGTTCCTTTTTATTATAATTTTTTTTTTCAGGATTCAGGGTAATACATCACACATTTATTAGCTGCCTAGTATGTGCAGAACATAATGCAAGGCTCTGGGGATTCTGCAATTTTAAGTTGTCACTACCTTTGTGGAACTTAAAGGTTATTAGTTATTACACACACGCAAATAAAAATAACTAGATTACAAAGGAATAATGCTTGATAAGCACATGAGAGAAAAAGGTTATTATCCACTGACTGGGAAGGGAGGAATTTGTGGAGGAGGTAATATTTAGATTGGCATATAGGAGTTTTGTAGTTGGAAGAAACAAAAAGAGGGCATTCTGGGCATAAAGAACAGGATGAGAAAAGGTACAGAAGAGAGAAGTGAGGAAGTCTTTGTAGGGAATAGCGAATAATTAATTTTCATTTGAATTTCCAGTTCAGATGTCTTCGTATGCCAGAAACTCCATTCACATTGCATAAATTAGTTTAAATTAGTGGTGTCTATAATGCACAACATTCAATAAGTAAAAGTTTCATTTTGTAAATCACTAATCATATACATTAGAAATAAAAAATAATTGTATAGTAAATAAAAAATACTCATCAATCCTGTTCATTTCCATGTGTGTTTACAGGAAGTCCAGCACAATTGCCAACTTCATAGGATATCATTTTGTGCAGATGATAAAACTGACAAGAGGATATTTACTTTCATATGCAAAGATTCTGAATCAAATAAGCATTTGTGCTATGTATTTGACAGCGAAAAGTGTGTAAGTATGCCAGTATTTTAGGGTGATTTATTTCATTTTATGAGTACATGAATTAGCTTATTCCTAACAATATTAAAGTTATTTGAAAGAATAAGGCCTGAAGATACTTAAAGACTCATCACATCATGAGAACATACAGCAAAATCCCTTGCTTAACTAAATTCTCATGTTCATTGATACACGAAGACAGGCAAGTTCACTTTATCAGAGAATCATGCCTGTGTTATATATTCATTTATTTTATTTAGTAAGGAGTTTGCACATGTTTTTATTTCATTTCATAGAGAATAATTTTTGAAAATTTTTTCTTGGTATGCAAGTATTGACCATATGGCTAGGTGGATCATTGAGATATGGTGCATTTTATTTCATGATTTTTAAAATATGAGATGTTAGGGAAAGAACTGATATTGCCTGAAAATACTACTAATGATTAAAAATTATGGTTGTTTTTATTTTAATACCCTTTCATATGCTTAACTACATAGGTTCAAAAATGATAATATAAACACGTAATATGCATAGGTACCTAATGCTCAAACCAAATAATGTACAGAGAGGACAAGAATTAGAAAATTGTTCAGTCAGATTCTCTGATGGATAATTATTTGGTATCTAAACTTGCCCTTTGGTATCAGGGACAGGTAAAAGAAATTTTTGACTGATTCTGAATTCCTACTAAAAAAAACAAGCAGTTAATTTCAAACATCTTGTACTTTTAACCTAATGTCAATAATGAAGGCAGAGTGCTTAATGTAACAGATGATTCACTTCGGCAGCAAACAAGACCTGATTAATTTGGTTGTTAATTATCCTTACCTGCTGCCAAAGTGGTCTATGGACTGATATAAACATTATCACTTACCTTTATGGTTTTATTGCCAACTGCTGTGAAGTTTTTATAAACTTAAACATAAAAACATTATATAAATATAAACAAAAACATAAAAAAGGGCTAGTCAGTGTCCTTAAATAACATAGTCATTGTTCAAAAAGAGGCTGTCCAAATCAGTAATATATGGATACTAAGTGTGGATATTTGTTTAGAATCTTGCTTTGCTTTATGTATTTATTTTAACTTTGTGATTGTACTTATTTTCGGGGGAAAGAAAGGTGACAAGTGGTGACAGAGAGACAAAGTTAATTAGAACTATGTCCTTTCTTGTTGAGCTGATTTTCTGCAGCTATATCACCTTTTCTCACATATAAAGCTGCCCATTCAGACTTAGCCAGTTGATTTTTTTAATCAACATTCTCAACTCTGTAATTTACCCTATCCTATTCCCCTGCCAACACTTGAATTAAATTTAGTAAAGATTTGTTAAGCATTTACTTTGTGCCAGAAGTTGTGATCATATTAGATTTGGCCCATTATTATTTCAGTCTATTAAAATGTGTTTGTATGTCGATTCTGTAAATCAGTGCAAATTAGCTATACCTCCCAATTTTATGTCATCTAAAAGTTTAATGAGATTTTCTATATTTCCATCTGTTATTTGTTTTAAAATATTAACAAAATAGAAATAGTGACATTATCTAATGTCACACCTCTGCAAAGAAAACCCCAAATGGGGTCATGAAGAGTCAGACACGACTAAAACGATGACTAAAATGAACAGCAAAACTACAGTTAAAATGCTTCCAGTTGGGAGATAGAGTATTAAGTGTGAGGAATAACCAGGAACTCAGTATCACTGGATTGCACAGTACTTTGAGGAAAGTAATGGGTAAAAACCCAGAAAGTTAGAAAAAGGCCTCAAAAGCCAAACAGAAGAATCTGTGTTTGATCCTGGCAATAACAGCATTAACAAATGGCCTTCAGGCATGTTTTCCTGTGGGAGTTCTTCTATCATGTCTGTAGGGTTCTTTTGTACCCTGGGTTGTAATTTATCTGGATCTAGAGACTTAAACTTGTTTAAATCACTTAGATGAGTTGGTAATAAACTACTTGTTTTCAGTTTAGTTCCCTTTTTAATAATGTTTTAACCTATTCATTTTGATGACATTTTGCTGATCTAGAAAATGGAAGATTAAAAAAAAATAGAACTCAAAAGTAAAAAAAAAAAAAGAAACCTGAATGTCCTGCCTTTTCTTAGTCATTACAACAGTTCTCTTAAGCAATCCCTTATTAGTTATTTTAATTAATAACCACATTATGAGTACTTATTATATGCCAGGCCCTGTGCTGAGATATTTATTATCTCGTTTGAGTCTCACTATAACCCTGGGATGCAGGTACTAGTATTGTTATCTCCATTTTACATTTGGGAAAACTAAGATAGACAGAGATTAACTGATTTGCCCAGAGTCACACAGCTAATATGTGTCTGAAGTCACACTTGAACTTTGGTCTTCCTGCCTCAAGGCCCAATGCTCTATACACTATACCATCTAGCTGCTCCATATAGTGTAGACTTAGAGTCGTAGGACCTGATTTTGAATCCCTACTTTGCTACTTACTACTTGAGGCACCCTGGGCAAGATGCAGCTTTTCTGAGCTTCAGTTACCCCATATTTAAAATGAGGGAATAGAACATATGGCTATCTGAGATCCCTTCCAACTCTAAATCAGTGGTTCTATGTGGTCTTCTATTTATTTGTATAATGAACCCCCTGTCAGAAAATAGAGAAACAGCAAAATAAGATTTGGTATCCTAAGCAACACAGGAGTAAATACCTCCCAGGAGGATTAGGCCCTATCCAGCAATATTAACAATCCTTCATTAATCATCCTCCAACACTCTAGTCATTTTTTGCTGCTGTCTATTAGAGGTCATCACCTAGTGCTCTTGCTGGCTTCTAAAACAGAACACCCAAAATGGAACCCCAAACAGAACACCTAATCTAGTCCCCCAAACCTGGAGTTCTAACTTCTGAGTTTCAGTTTCCTCAAGGGTAAAAGGATGATGTAATTATTGTTTGGTCATTTCCAACTCTTTGTGACCCCATTTGGTGTTTTCTTGGCAAAGATACTGGAGTGGTTTTCCATTTGCTTGTTCAGCTCATTTTATAGATGAAGAAACTGAGGTAAACAGAGTTAAGTGACTTGCGCAGCGTCACACAGCTACTAAGTGTCAGAGGCCAGATTTGAACTCAGGAAGATGTCTTCCAGGCTTAAAGCCCACCTTTTTATCCACCTCTGAAGTTCCTTCCAGCTCTACATCTGTCATATGGCATGGAAGGAAATGAAGCTCTTAGACTGCCACTTGGTACCCTCACTGTTAGACAAACCTCTCCCCTTTCCCTGTCATACAGCAACTTCTCTTAATGTAGTTTGCAGCCAAAATTATATCTGATTAAACATGTTTTGTCAGAGTCTTACATTTAATTTCATAAAAATAATTTTTTAAAGAAATGTCCTGTTTAACTTTCCTAAATAAGGTATTTTATTTTTAATGAATTTTTAATGAAAAATAAAGATGGGTCACAGTAGTAGTGAGGATTTAGTTATCTCCTAGAGAAATCAGCTCTGTTTTTTTCTTAGTTGATAACCTATTATAGTAAAGACATGGACTGCAATAAAAAAAAATAATGTGGATTTTGTGATATATTATATAATTGGATACAACTGTATACCTATATATTTCTATATATGCAGAGGAATATTAATGATTGAGTTGGTATTTCCTACAACGTCCATTCTAATGAACAAGAGGTAATGAAAACGTTTGTAGATGAAGTTACTAATTACAGTTATGCAACTGGGCTTCCTTTAGATTATACCAAGCCAAATGTAAAAGAACAATTAAGAGCAATGATTAGTATGATTAAAATTATTGACAATGAAGGAATATATTATCAAGAGAAAAAATAGCAGCATCAAGCTTTAAACTTTGTATCTCAGATTTATTTTAGGTGTTGATCATTTGAGGAAAATCCTTGGGCAAGTCACCTAACCCTATTTGCCTCAGTCTCCTCTTATAAAATGAGCTGGAGAAGGAAATGGCAAACCACACCAGTATTTCTGTCAAGAAAACCCCAAATGGGGTCACAGAGAGTCAGACATGACCAAAGCAACTGAACAACAAAACGGATTTACTAAAACATATTGAACCTTTAATTAAATAAAGCAAGGAGAAAGTATTTAATAAACAGCAGTGAATTCAATTAAACAAACCCACTTGAAACAAAAATATGCAAAGTTCTGAGTGTTGTGCTGGGCATACAAAGAAGAAAAAAACAAATCACAGTCACTGCCCTCTAGGAGCTTCTAATTCATTTGGCAGGACTGAGGAGGAGAAATAGCACATGTACCCACGTAACTGATGCAACTCAGAATATTTTTAAGTGTGAGAGAAATCTAAACAAAGCTTATGAGAAGTTTGAGATGGATGAGCTAATTTCTGGCTAGGTGATCAAATAAGGCCTTGTAAAGGAGATAGCACCTAGATTCAATGTACCTTGAATGAAGAGGGGATAGGTCATAGGTTATGGGTTGGATGGTAGGGTTGTCCATTCCAGAGAAGGAGAACGATGTGAACAAAGACAGAGATATGGGAAAAGGTAGGATGGGGTGGAGGGAAAGAAATGGCAGTGAGTTTGGCTCCAAGAGTTTGTGAATGGGAGTAGTGTATGAAGATGAAAGTTAGACTACGGAAAACTTTGAATTTCAGGATTGGTGTTATATATTGTATTAGGTACATTATGAAGAGGCACTGGACATTTCTTGAGCAGAGGAGTTCCATGATCAGAGAGTAATGTGTTTGGATGATTTCTTTGGGAATCTTATGATGGTTGCATTGCTGGTTAATGGAGATTGTAGAAAAGGAAAGGAAATCACTTTGGAGATTATCATAGTAATCCCAGTAAGAGTGATGTGACCTGAAGTGGGATGATTCTAAGAATGTAAAGGAGGGAACGAATGTGAGAGAGCCTGGTGGTGTAACAGAAATATCTCTCTAGCAGATAGTAATGCAAGGTATGTGGTATACACTGCAGAGATTAACTCTACAGAACTTGGAAATGGTTTGGATTTAGGAGGAGTATGGGAAAGGGCATAATTAGAGACAGCCCTGTGGTTTCCAGGCCAGGTGATAAGTCCAGTGATTTCACCAATAAAAACAAGTCAGCATGAGAAGCAAATTTAAGGGGAAAGATGAGTTCGGTTTTAGATGTATTAAGTCTGGGGTATCAACAGGACATCCAGATGCAGCTATTAATCAAACAGTGAACTTTCTCATTGACAGTCCAAGAGCCGAAGATGAATTAATACAGAAAACACATTTTTCAATCCCAATTAACATGAATCAAGGCATATACAGTAGCGTATCATGTACACAAATTATTTCTTCAACAATAGCATAGCATTTTCAAATTTTGAAGTAATTCATAGGCTGCCATACAATAGCAAGATTTGTTGAATATAGCTTGTGGAATAGGGTCAACACTATAATTACACATTTTATATTATTTCAACACAAATTTTTAGTGGCTGCTATGTATGACAGAGGCAAAGGAAAAGGCAGGCCAAGTCAGGGTGGTATGAAGTGAGTAGATGAAGAAAGAATCAGTAATGAAATTAGCAAGAAGACCGTGTGGCTATCACAGTGCTAGAGGACCTGGACCTGTGATTCCATTAGTAGAGGGAATTCGTAGACAGAGAAACTGTTTCTGCCTAATTCAGGTTAGCATCTTCTCTGGAACTGAGGGGTAAAGTGTCTTGCCCAGGGTCACGCAGAATAGAGTGAAGCATTGCTCCCCACTCTGCATGCTGCTCATTCTGCTTGGAGTGTAGTAGATGTCACATACTTATTCCAAGAAATGGAAAATAAAGTGAGAAGGATCATGCTAAATACTTATTTAAATGAAGGGAAAACAAACTGAGAACGTCCATGCCTGCATCTCTTTCCCTGCTCATCTCTGCCTCCTGGCTTCATTCAGTACTCAGCTGAAGACCCACTTTCTTTAAGGAACCTTTCACAGTCCTCCTTAATCTTAGTGCCTTCCCTCTGAGATGACTCCCAGTTTGTCTTATATAAATCTTGTTTGTATATTGTTGTTTATAAGCTCCTTCCTAGAGTGTAAGCTCCTTGTGGGCAGGGACTCTCTCTTGCCCCTCTTTTATCCCCGGTGCTTGGCATAAAAAATAAATGTTTATTGAATGAATGAATGTTGTCTCCCGAATTAGACTGAACTCCTTGAGAGTGGGAACAGTTTGGTTTTAACCTTTCTTTGTGTAGCACAGTGTCTGGCACATAACAGGTGATTAATAAGTGCCAGTTGTCTGACTGATTGGCCGATTAGAATAGATAACATTTATATAGCACTTAAAAAGGATTTGCAAAGTGTTTTACATATGTTAGCTCATTTGATCCTCACAGCAACCCTGAAAGGTAAATGCTATTGTTTATTTCATTTTACATATGAGGGAACTAAGGTACAGAAAGGTTATGACTTGCTCACAATCACACAGCTATTAAGTGCTTGTGGCAGTATCCAAACTGAAGTCTTCCCAAATCTAGATCCTGCAGCCTATCTACTTGCCTACCTTGCTGCCAGTTTAAACCGTTAGTTTAAACAGAAGAAATAACATGTTGAAGGTAGAAAAGTGGCTTTCAGATCTTGCAGCTCTTCTCCTGCCCCTCCCTGCTCTGAAGGTGAGTTGACAAAGAGTAGATTTTTAAATGGAGTAGAACAAGCCATAGTCCTGCCTTCTCTTGTTCCTGCTTCTCCTCCCTCAATACTCAGCCAAGCTCATGCACCTCTTGTGAATGTTTGCCTCCCAGGGCAGCAGTCTGATCTTGGAAATGGTCTTACTACAGTGCCAATTCTTTCTGTTTGGTTTTACCCAAAGGCTGAAGAGATAACTTTAACGATTGGTCAAGCCTTCGATCTGGCCTACAGGAAATTTCTAGAATCTGGAGGAAAAGATGTTGAAACAAGAAAACAGATTGCAGGGTTGCAGAAAAGAGTGAGTAACTGAAACTGGTTGATCACGTGTATTTGAGCTAAGTACAGGGAAACTTGCAGACCGTCAAACAAATTGAGAAGTCCTACCATTCCATTTCCCCACACAGATTGGAACTGCTTTCATTTTGTTCCTATAATTGTCCACTCCTTCTGATCCCCTGCACAGTTTTTAACCATTTTATATTGAATTCCCACAAGAACTTAGTGTTCTCATGTGACTTTGCTTCACTTCCTGATGCTTCTCATGGGGATCAGAGCAGCAGAAGGAGCAGATGCTGGGTAAGTGGTTTCCCACGCAGATCAGATTCCTTTTGTTATTAAATTACCCCTTCCCCTCACTCTCTTCAAAATCATCATAAGCAAGTTTCACTGTCCTGTGGTTATATTCCTAGATTGTGGGTACAATTTGCAAAGTGAATTCAGAAAATCAGAAAGATGGGAGCAATCAGGAAGAAGAAATTAGCCCAGAATATAAGTAGTATAACATTTAAAATACATGCATTGCTAATGACCTGGAGTTCTAAGCTATTCCTAGGCTTTACCTAAATAACTTTATTCCCTGTGCATGAAACATTACATTACATTTTGAAATGATGGACAAGCAGAAGTTTAGAAAGGTCAATCCAGAATGCAGTCAGGATTTTATGGTATTTAAGAAAAAAAAATTTCTGATTTGATGTTCTGTTACCATTTGCTTTTTTAGATACAAGAACTAGAAACTGAGAATACAGAACTCAGAAATAAAGTTCAGGATTTGGAAAATCAGCTAAGAATAACTCAGATATCAGTGTCTCCAGTAAGTATATGCAAAATCTATGCTGGTTCAGGGAAAAAATCAAATATATTACGTTTCTCTGCACAGGTGCATGTTACATTTTTTCCACTAATATCTTTATATTCGAAACACATATCTAATATCACAGAGAAAAAGAAAGCTTATCAGTATAGAAAGGAATAGGGGCTAGGCCTATTATTTCTCTAGTATAAGGAAACTTCCAGGTAAAATGACTACCTCTACCTGGTTGCTACCTTTTTTGAAACTTAATGAGTGGTCTAGTGCAGGTCAAACAGCCAGCATGTGTCCAAGGCAGAATTTGAAACCTGGTCTTCTTGGCTTTGAAACCAGCTCTCTAATCGCTACTCTATCACTATCTCCGATGAATACAGGTAATTCTCAAAATAGCTTTAGATTGTATTCATTTTGTTCTGGATAACTGATTCTAGCCTCAATGTAATTTTAGGCCTTATTGTGGATTCAGCAAGTCTCTATAATAGTTACATTTGAAGTCTGTTGTGCGTTATGGCTAAGTTCAAGGAACCCTTCTGTAGTAATGTAGAAGAATTAATAGAAGTCCCAAAGCAGTAAACTGTGGCCCAGGAAGTAGCTTTTGTGCTTTGCAAAATCTGGGCTATTGTATTACATAACGATTTTCCAAACAAGTAAATTAGTCTCACAGCATGAGAAACTAGTGTTTTGGGCACAGAAATTACTTGTCATTGTAGTCAGTTCTTACATTGTTAGTAAATTATTTTATTTTGTAGTTTATTCATAATTTCAAAATCCATATTTAGCTTTTGCATTTCACCTAAGATGCTTAGATGCATTTCTTGCCATTAGGTGGTATAAAATTAGGGTATGGGAGCATTTTAATACTCATCTAAGCCAAATATAATTGAGAAAATTATGCTTCCTGTTTTGATCATTTATACCAATACTACCCTTCCTTTGTTCCCTTCCCAGAAGTTCTCTATGAGTCCTACCTGTTTGTTTTGTTTGTTTGTTTTGGAAGGTCCATGTCAAATGCTGTGTTTGACCATATCAATAGTGAGGCAATTTCTAAAAATTATTATTTAGTTATATTCTTTCAGTAAACAAATAACTATTAAACAATAAGGGAATGTCTTTGCTCATCACATTAATGGGCCACAATAAAAGCAAACTACTTTAAGATTTGATTCTTTTGATAATTTACGCAGACTGCCAAATCATGGGTTTGACCATTGTAATTGGTGATTGATTAATGTGTTCGTGGCAGCCCAGGTTGGAACTAGGAGCACATTTACTCATAGAATTGTGATTATATATCATGGTTAGGTTCTATATTGCCAGTAGTGCTATTACCAGTTTCTTTTATTTTACCAAATATGTCTATAATAAACAACTCAATAATTTAAGGCTCTACATGTAATAAACCCACTAAACCTAAAGATGCTAACTTTGTGATCAGATTATTATATTTTATTCTGTCAAAAAATGCCTGGATATTCCTTATTTCCTATTGCCAGCAGTAATCTCTCTTTCCTCAGAGCTGACATAGTACATTATACCTAGCTTAAAGTACTTTTCTTTATAACCTTGCATTTGAGTTATGCCCACATATTTCCTGACTCCCATGCTGTAAGCCATAACATGATATATCCCAGTGCTTAGGACATAGGAGAGGTTGATTAAATATTTGTTGAATGAATAACTGAAAATTGATTTTATCACAGCAGGGTACTTAATAGTACCTAAAATGCTTTCTGGATCCAAAGCAATATGGCCTGAACCCCAGAATACAGTTGGTTTCCAATTTACAAATGGGTCGTGATCCAAAAGTTCATTTTTAAATTACTCATTTGAAACTTGAAGTGTGTTTTCCCACAGAAACAAAATGTTACACAATATAATTCATTTTGTACGTCAGCCTAAAAAACGTTTGTTTAACTCAACTTGAAGTAAATGAAATAATGAATAATGCCATAGAACCTAACCACAATTTGTAACCATGATTCAATGGGAAACACGTTCCCGCTGGAGATACCAGGAACACATTTCTAAATCAACATTCATAGTGGTCAAATCTATGATGTAGCAGTTGGTAAAAATGAAAAGATCCTTTTCTTAAAAGATCTAATTCTTAAGACAGCCCAGTTATGCTATGGTATGTTAATGTGATGGATATAGACCTTCCCTAGTTTCCATCAGTTATTCACAGAAAATATAACAAAATAGCAATTTTTAAAGATTACTCCTGTATAAAAATGATAAAACAGTCAAGAAAATGGAGAGTAACAAATGTTTCTTTCCTTCCCTCAGAGTTTATTTTATTTTACCAAAAATACATATATTAAAGAACATTCAGTAATTTAAAATTTTAGGTATTATTACCATACTAATGATAAAAAATAGTGACTTTAAATTTGGCTATTTTTCTCTGTCAAAAAATGCTTGAATTTGTCCTTGTTAGTCCTTTGAACTAACATTCTTTTATAAGTGCTCCACCAAAACAAAACAAAAACAAAACTTTTGAATTTCATGTTCCATCGGAAACATTAGATAGATATATAAAACAGTAAGTATAAAGTTAGCAAGCAGATAGCATAGATAGCAAAGACAATATATAGTATAAATAATATATCCTTCATTACAAGAGAGTCATTGTGTCACAGTGGAAAGAAAGCTAGCCAGGAAGACGTGGGTTCAAATACTGTCTCTGATACATACTTACCATGTGACTCTGGTCAAGTCAATTAACCTCTTAGTGCCCCTGGGTAACTATCTAAGGCATATTACAGAGAAGGTGCTAATCTACATTCCTAAAAGGGAGTTTCCTAATCTGAGTTCCTTAGGTGCAGTGTTAGAAAAGTTCTTGTGAATCTGAGTGGGCCATTCTTTGAAAGGTAAAGAATATATAGGGGCAATGAATTAACAATTTATTTTTGCCTTTTGTTTTCTAACTGCATTAAATGAAGACACTAGCATAGTTTAATGACAAAGTAAGATGTTTAACTATGAAATGTTAAAAAAAAACCGCTAGACTGGAAATCAGAGAATTAGTTTCTTGTCCTGTTGGGATCTAAGTCTGTCTCCTCATCTGTGAAATGAATTTATTGGATTATGTGATCTCTCCAGTGCCATTCCCTTCTAAACTTCTTTATTCTATGAACCTTAAAAATTACAACCCTCATTACATTTCAAAGAATAAAATGTACCCCCCAAAGAATTCCTAAAATATTTTTAAAGTTTGAGATGTTTATCTTCCAAGCTTATAACATTTTGTATTAAGTTCTGAAGTAGCTAAAATTATTTTGTTATGACTATATTAACCTTTATGGTGACTGTCAACTCTGCTAGCAAAATGAAGTTTCATGAGTAATTGTTACTATTGATTAATACTTTGAATAGTTGAATTAGACTCCTTTAGAAAATTATGAAAATGGTTATTTCAAATAATAAGATTTAAATGATCAGTAGTCAAGCATTTACTCTACTGCCTACTATGTGGTAAGTAGTGCTACACTATCTCTATTAATATGGATATTTCTGACTTAACGGGCATCTCTCAGCAGAATTTTAGAAAAATGAATGCTGAAAAATTAATACTCTTTTCACTGTGACCTTCATTAAAATTTGAAAGTCAAATGACATTAAGACAGCCAGTAGGAAAATGGCGAGGGTCTGAATTGTACTGACTAGTACATAATAGACATTCTTTAAATGTCTATTGGTTGATTGGTTTCTATTAGTTTGAAAACATAGGTAGGAGTTAGTGTATTATTGCAATCTGAGCTTTGTCCAAGAATCTGTGTGTTCTTATGGTAGATGAAGAGTTAAGTAAGAGTAAAAGGTTAAATTATGTTCAGGAGTCAATTAAATTCAATAAATATTTTGAAGTAATGACTATATCCAAGTCATTGGACTAAGTGGTAAATAGAAAATACAAAGAGAAAAGAAGAAACCACACCTATGAAGGGCTTACAATCAGAGAGAGGAAGGAGAGAGAGAGAGAGAGAGAGAGAGAGAGAGAGAGAGAGAGAGAGAGAGAGAGAGAGAGAGAGAGAGAGAGATTACATTTTAATAGTGGAAGACAATACCTATAGGAATGCTAGAAGGAAAGGAGAAGGAGGTTGAGTCTGTAGAACGACTAGATGAGAGAAAGGTGAAGTATGTCTGCAGTCCTTCCAAAAATATTTTATCAAGGGAGAATCTCCAATCAGGAGAGCAGGACCTTAGTATGACATTTCCTAAGTGGGCAGTGCTATAGGTGAGGAGAAAGGTGCAGTCTGGAGAAAGTTATAGTGAGAATAAGAGAACATAAACATATGCACAAATTACTATGGTACAATTTAAAATGTATTAGAAATGCTGTGAGAAAATTGAGGGGGGTGGAAAGGTTGTTTCTTTTGGAGAGAATCAAGAAAGGCTTCTTGAAGTGGCACCTGAACTGGACATTGAAGGCAGTTTCAATAGTTGAAACTAAGGGTCCTGGGAAGACAGAAGTCAGTATGGCAGAGGAAGCATGAGCAATCGTACAGAGAAAGAAGAGAGGCAGCAATGGCAGGAACATAGAGAGCAAGGGATCTTTAAGTGTTTATGTATGGACTTGAAGTTAAGTTGGTTGCATGATAGTTCACAAGAGAAGCCCAGTTCTCCCATGTATCATTTAATGTTTAAAAAAGTTCCAATATGTGTAATCATCATAAAATTCAAATAAGTATCAGTGCCTTCATACAACTTAAGCTGGCCAGAAGCCTTCCAGAGCTCTCCCAGTATCATCAATGAATGTCAAGTATGAAAATAATTGAAAGAAGTAATTGGAAAGAAGCTCTAGCAACATATTAGGTAGGTTATATAATATGGCTAGGTTGTGTTTTTTTTGTTTGTTTGTTTATTTTTACCAAGAACAGTTCAATGCTGGGAAAGCTATCAAACATAATAGTCCATGTTAATAATAAAAACAATGAAAATCACATTATATTCATGGATGCAACTTTTAACTAAATATAGTATCTATTTCTGTTAAAACCACAAGT